TTGTGTAATGAATTGGTCATGTGACACTCTGGCAGATTTAGGCAACTAGATCTAATTTCTTCAACTGTTACATTATCAGGAAACTAATTTCTATAAGTAAATTATAATCCTTTACATATCATTAACGTGGCTTAATGAAAAACAGACAAGTGGATGCTCTCATTTTTTTGTGTGGTTTTTTTTTTCCCGCCTGCTTATTCTCACTGTTCTGTTAAATCTCTATATTTCCAAAGAACTCTTTACTTTACTGTTCAACATTTCTTTGAAAGACTCATCAGGAAGATTCTAAATGTGCACTTGGAGTTTTGCCATGATTTTTCAGAGGACTAAGACTAGCCCTATGTACCATTACAAAGATGTAATAAATGTCATTGGTACTAACCGGCTTTCCTTCACTATACCGAGCTAACACAGAAAGTCTAAGTAAATGCAAATTGCTCCTACATGCAATAATTCTGATAAAAGAAAAGGACAATAATGGCTTTTTGAACATCATGCTATTGTAGAGTGTGCCCTCATTAGACTCCCGAGTAATAATACTCCTTTGCACTTCATCAAATGTAAACGTATGTAATTAAATCAGTTTTCATAATTTCAGTCTCTGTCATAATCGTGATCATAATAAGACCGTCAAGTAAAAATTATACTATAACCAGATTTTCACAAACCTGATTGAACAGTTTTGCACAAGATTGTCTGTACAACTGGAAAGGGTTGAAGACAGGTGGCTCTTCTCTGCCATTCAGTGTCAAAGGGAGGCATTGACTGGAGGTAACACCATCTTCAGAAGAATTCTCACAAGAAAGCTGCTCTTTCAGATATGCCTTTTAGAAGAAAACCACAGAACAGTATATGACACCCAGCTTTCTAAGTGAAATTTGCCTAAATTTCAAGCATAACTTTACAGTGTGTTTGATAGGAATTCCTTATATTAAAGGAGGGAATAAGTAATCTCTTACAAAATAGAAACCTTTTTAAGAATAACCATATTTTAAAACAAAGAATAAATAACCTCCAGGAATATCCACCCAACTGAAGCAAGTAAGAATGATCTAAGCTACTGTTTTGAAATTGTCATCACATTATGTGTATCAGTTCTCATTTAATATATATGTCAGGAATATGTAGAAGTGAAAACCAAATATTTTCTATGAGCTCTTCTAATGCAAGATGGCTATTATGTGATTTATTTTACATGATAAAATATCCACAAATTTTTTGGGCAGCATTAAATAGTTACAGATGACTATAAATTAATTGTTTGATGAACATGTTCAAACCAGTTGTTTAAGTACAGGAATAAATATTTTCCCACCCTTCAAAGCTATTTTTAATTGTTTAAGAGTTCAAAGACTAGAAGTCATTTATGATTTACATGGCAATTTTAGAAACTATACTGTAACAGACGTGTGATTATTTTGGCCACAGTCTTTTCTGTTTTCACTTCTTAAACTACTATATAAATAAATCATCATTGCATGCCAATAAAATGTTTTGATTAAATAGAACCATTTTACAAAGAGCTAGATAATGAAACACTTACAGATCTATTTGCTGGAAGGACTACTGTGATTAAACAGTTTATTGTTATAAAATCAAGTCCATAGTGATAGGATTGCCATAACATTGAGCAAGTACTCAAGGTGAGTCTTCATTAAGATGGGTGGATGCAAATGATCCTCTTAATTTGCAGTACTACTGAGATGATAAAAATTTTCAGATGCAGGTGAGGGAACATGTAAACTACCTGCCAAGACACCCTGTGCGGCTCAGTGGGTCTTTCTAAGAATAATTTCATCATCGGTTTAAACTGATCCAACTGTGGTCTGGCCTGAAAAGGCACAAGTTCTCTTCCAATCCACATAGACTAGCTGTTTCTCCCTTGTGTTGGCACTAGCATATGTTGTGAAATCAGCCAGAAAAAAGAAAGGTTTCAGCCACACAATTTCTAGTATGACTGCAATGGTGGGGCTAGGAGTGGGAAAGCACAAGGGCAAGAGAAAGAGCAGGACCGTCTCTCTCTTCTGGTCGTCAGCCAATTGTCAGGACTGCCTAAGACATTCATGAAATCATCTAAAAAAACACAAAACAGTCAGAGCGTTTTTGGTTTAAGACAACAGCATAACCCAGCTGTGAAAACACACCTCAAGTCTCTTACCTCTATCTTCTCAGCCTACAAAAATGTCTGTTTCTTTTTCCCATTCATTCATGACTTCATGCCATAACAAAGATTTTGAAGTTGTGGTGAAGGGGGGTATTTAAAAGCTATATCTATACATTTACCCATTTCTCATAAATGTACTGCCTTCCACGCACACATTTTCACAAAATCTGCATACAGCTCTAAAGCAACCCAGCCCTCTGGGTGTCACAGAGCCAGCGAAAGGAGATTCTGTTGTTTTATTAGTAGAAATACTGGAAATTGCTGTCCATGCATGCTAGGGTTTGAACATTTTGAGTGGTATACAGCTTACCTCCCAGTACAGGCATTTTTCTGTCTTTGGAATAATGTGCGTTTAAGTTTTGACAAAGATACGTATTCAACAATGGTAAATGCATTACTTTAAGAACTCTTTTAGTATAGTACATATTGCAGACCTTGAAAGGGTCATGCTTCAAAAAGGTGAAAATAGATAGAAATGAAATCATGTTTGTAAACGTGTGAGCTATATCCTCACTATCATTGACTGGGCATGACACCAAGCAGAGGGAGTATTATTGAGCCTAACAGCTCAGGAGAGTTGGTTTCTCTTTGGTAGCCATTAATCAAAAATTTTTTTAAAGATGATTATTCTTTTTGATATATACGAAGGACTGTAGGCTGTTTTGAGTTCTACAGTATCTGTTACAGATATTTATAACATCATAGCTCTATTTCCAAATACAGTTTCCCAGAATCTATATCCCTTTTCACCTGCTTTTGTAAGGAAAGTTATTGAGAATAAAAATTTTCTGTGTCATCATTTTGTTCTCTATTCAGATGCAATGATTAAGTAGTGTAGCATAAAGATCTCCTGACTAATTTTAAGAACATGATCCATGATCCCTTGATAGTCCAAGGAGTCTCCAAACAAAAGGATGGACCTTTTAACAGACAATCAAGTCTATTTCCTGGTAGTCAGGCATCTTAAAGATAATCTAAATTATGAAAAATAGTATTTAAAAGTGCATTATCACAATGCCATACTAAGCATTAAAATGTCTTGTAATGGTTTCAAAGGCAATTTGAAGTAACATGGTTAAGTCCTTCTGTGAGTCAAGCTGGGCAGGACTTTTTGTTCTTCTTGTTTTTTAAAAGAAGACAGTTTTTTCTACTGAGAAATGTTCTATATTTAGCAAAGCTCTTACTAGCTGCAGAAATTCAAGGAGAGACACCTGGGATGTGGAAAGTCAGGCTAAAGTCCCTCTTCCACCTAATTTTCTCAGCCGCTTACCTCCTATTGGAGCTGCTCCACTTTGCATAAATAACCAAATACTCACAGGAGTCGGATCTTGGATCAGGGTCTCCAGAACCCAATATTGGCATTCAATACCCTTCAGCTAGAGTATGATTCTATTTTTGACCCTAGAAGTTACAAAAAGGATTCTTACAGCAATTTCTACAAGGCGAAACAACTCCAACAGGGGAAAAAGGCAGAGTTCCATGCTGGTAGCTAACGGACTGGTGGTTTGGGGAGTTAGTTCAGATGTGGGAGATGCAGATTCAATTCCCTGGTTTAAGCCAGGCAGAATAAAGATTTAAGCCTGCATATCCTGTCCCCTAGGTGACTGCCCTAACTACTGCATTATATGCTATTTTTGGAGGTCTTGCTCATCATCTTTGTCTCACTCCGTTAGAGTAATCCTGAATGTGCTCCAGGTGAAAAGGTTTTGTTTGAACTGTATTACAGTAATAATTTTCACTTCACTTCCTGAACCATTTAATTGTTTGAGATGAAATTTGAAAAGATCCTGTATTGTATTAATATTAGGTTGCCATCTCTACATACATGCTTACATTGCTTCTAAATCTTCCAAATGCAGATGCATCAAGGTTGCTTTTAAGCCTATACTTAGGAACTAAACAGTTGCTCTGATATTCAGAAGCACAGTGCCAGTACTGAGCTGCTCTCTATTGCCTTCATAGAGACATAGCTGCCTAATTGGGTTTTTTTGCTATCATTTTTTTAAAAAGAAAAATCTTGGCCTATGCCTATATTTGCATTATTTTGCATTTTATTATAAACACTTCTGTACACTTGCAATGATCTTAACAGCACCTGCTTATGCATTCAAGGAATAGCAATTTAGTAATTAAAGCTAATAAACAGAACTTTCTTAATTAAGCTCTGTAGAGCTGTGTTATCATACAATTTAAGCAAACTTGTGTTTATTTCAGTGTATAAAATCAGAATGCTTTTGGTAACTTGGGGCAATTTAGTACAGCCTTAGAAATAATGAGATAATTCTTTTACATTGCTCAAATTCCATGCGCAGCAAACAAATTTGAATTTGTTTACTTGTAATTTTGAAAGCACTAACTGAACAGAGTGATCTAGATCAAGTAAGGTTTTCATGTCGATGCATTTACTTCCTCAGTACAGCCGTAGGGTTTGTTTGGTTGTTTTTTAAATCAGGAGAATTGATTTACCACATTTAATTTTACTTCCTGTAACAGTCAATTTTTCAATAGCTTTGCTGATTTTTAACTTTTTATTTATTTTTACTGTGTTCAAACTCCTAAAGTGTATCTATGGTCTACAATATGAGTCTGAAACAAGTTTATGAGCCATACTACTGTTTAAGTACATAAATAAAATCTACATTGTTTCCCATAAAGTAATCTTTTCTGTACAAATGCAGAAAAGCCTAAACTGAATGGATTCTATTACAATACAATATAGGATTTCATATTGACTTTAAGAAGCATTATCACCTCCTTGACTAACCCTTAGCTGCCAGCAGACGCTGCCTCAGGCCAGTACACACCTAATTGCTCGGTAAAAAGGCCGTTTCCCTACCTCATTGAGCCGGATGATGTGATAAATTTGCCTCAGGTACTCGCTGCCACCTGGTTTGTGGCAGATATCCAGGACCATCATGTTTATTTTCTGCTCAGTGAATCCAAGTGCAATACCTCCTTCCTCTAGCGTTGCCCCTTCTAGTGTGACTGAGGCACTAGAATATAGAAAAGATACAAATATTCTTAAGTTCAATTTCTAAAAATCAAAATACCAATACCAGGTCAGCTAAAAACACATGTTAAAAAAACCTTACAAAGATTTGGCTTGCACAAAACAAATGTTGCTGTGTATACATCTTGGAAGCCTTTCTACAAATACCTAATAAATGCTAAATAACACTTTTATTTTACAAATTTTAATGATTTTAATCTGACAGATAAAAACATAAAACATTCTTTACTCTAAGGACATGGAAGGAGCAAATATTTTTGAATTTTCTATTCCACTAGGGAAGTACCTTTGCTACTAGAAATGGCAGCTGCATTCGATCTTTTGTACATTTTCCTTTGCCTGTCGCTGCACATATTAAGGCCTAATTAACATGTCAGAAAGGTAGCCATTACTCTAAGTATAGGTTAGAAGTTTTAAATTGAAGTCTTTTTCTTCCCACTGGTATGGTGGTAACCATTTCAAAGATACCTATTTGCCACTTGTTGCACTATTCGTCTGTATATTTCCTTGTTTTTCTTTTTAAAAGTATTTATGTGAAACTGCTACAAAAAAACCCTGAAGGTGACAGTCCCAAATGCCTTGAAAAATATGCATTCAAAACTCTGACCGCTGTCAGACTGTTCTCTCAACATACGATCATAAGTTACCAGCTTAGTATTGTAAATTGACAAAGTATTAAGAAAAAAGTACTAAACCTAATTTTTTTCCTCAAATATTAGAGCTGCAACACAGATGTGTACTGGCACCTTGACACTGATGCGCAGAGAACTTGAAAGACTGACAAGAATGTATGATCCCTCCTACCGTCATTATTGGATTAATTGAAAATCTACCAAAGAAGCATTCCAAATTAAAAAAAAAAGCAATATCTTAATTTTTTAGAATTAAAAGCAAAAAACCCAAAAATTATTTGGTACTGTCAGCTGTATTTTGCAATTTACTGTTGAAAGTGTGCTGTGATTACAAAGTTAGTTCTGCTGAAAGTTGTTGCTTGACCTGCAGGCTCACTTAAATGCTACACAGCTGCTGGACATTAAAGCTGATATTGCTTCCACATGCAGCTTCAGAACGCCCTACAGAGCAAATAGTTTCAAAATATGAACTGTAATTTTGTTCTTTGCTGAATGGAAGGGATACTCTGTTATTACGGTGTATCTTACAGAAAAGCTTCAAAGAAATTGATCTTTAAAATTAAAGCACATTTAAGACCGATCTTTCTTTGCCACAGATAGATACAACCTGAATTTCCTGTCAAACTTCTTAGCGATTGACATTGAAAAAGTTGAGGACCTCTGACAAAGGAGTGTATCAGTGTCAGCACCCAAACTGTATCCTTTCCTGTCCGTCACTGTGCAGGTGAAGCAGATGATTGGATTCAGTCAGTGCTGTGATTAATGAGTTCCTCTCTGGATTTGGGACTGCCTATCAATCATGTCATTAGGAAGAATGTGCCCTGGAAGAGGCAGACCTCAACCAAGGAATAACTGCATTCATCTTAATCTGTATATGCACCCAGACAGCCAAGTCAGGGTCACCATGATGAAAAACAATAATCTTCAACTCGACAAATTACTTTGCAAAGACACACATTTCTTTTCTTCTCGGGACGCCTGTTCTTCAGAATCTAACGTGACTGTTTACAGCTCCGTTGCTACCATAAAGTGAAGGTTATTTTAACGAACAGTAATGCTTTCAAGCAGTACACAAGACAGGCAATGCATGCAACTGCTGCTTTTTGAACCTTTCAGATTCAGATTTTTTTTTAAGTTTCGTTTTCCTAAAAACTAAGTTAAATTTGTATGCCACAATGGAAGGATCTATATAATATTTACAATTTTTATGTAGCTATCACTCTTGATAACAATAACACAACACAAAATCAAGCAAGACTTTTGCTTATAAAAATCCAGTGCTCTTCAAAGATGTTTCCACAACTGTGTAGGTGAATTCCAAATTAATCTTTGTAATTTATGGGGTTTATTTTCGTCCACACACTGTATCTATTAAAAGTCTATAAACATTTATAAATATGAAAATATATATAAATGCATGTGCATACAGTTACTCACAAAATCCTTTAACTATGAAAAGGTTATACAGAACACAATTTTACATCAACTTAGATTTTCAAATATAATCATTCCTATTTCAAACAAATCATGTAAACATTGCAAGTCTCCTCTTGAAAGATTTGCTTTTAGTTTACTGATTATGTGACCACTACTTAGTTTAATTGATATTTGAATTTCAGCTTTAATATATTAGTTTTATAATTTGCATTCATAATACTATTTTACCTCTACATCACATACCTCAGCTATTTATTAACTAGATTATTATTTTTTTCCCAGCAATTGACAATGGTATTTGAATATAAAATGGAAAAATAATGTTTATGCTACACTTCTATTGCAGAAATCCCACTGAAGTCAGGGGAGTTAGTTTCATAACTGCATCATATAACTATGCACTTGGAGAGCAGGTAATATATTCTTCAGTTTCTGAAGCTTAAAATTAGGAGCCCTTGTCACAAACTAGTTCTCACTGTGGCTGACACTGTTCACATACAGAAAACATTTTCCCACAGTCATTTCCTACAGTTTGATACCTGATCGATAATACAGCATTTTTGCAGTAAGTTAGGAAAAACGATAGAGTAGTATATTTATTTAAAATTCTCAGCTTCAGAGGAAGTGCAAATACTAAAGTGTTAGTTTTTAGAGGTTATCCACAATACTGTCTTGCCCTGCATTTTTATTTTTTAAGAAATACCTATTCTCTCAGTGACATTAGAAATTGTATTATGGAACCATTCTGTTAAGTATCAATGTACACATTATCATTATAGGTTTTTTATTCTATGACTCTTTCAGTCGCTGCCATCTGGCTTCAATCTTTTAATCACTGGATTATAGCTTGTAAATTAGTATTAAATGGAAATGTAAAGATTACAAAGGTCAGTGTCAATGAGCATTCGTGTGACACTATTACTACTTAGTGCTACTCATGTTAACTGACTACTCATGGAAACAGGATACTCTACTTAAAGCACTGTAGGAAAGTCTGTTCACTGATATAAGTGATTTCGACCTACAATCACTGTATCCTTTGTTTACATCGACATTTGCTGTCAGAACAGCAATGACTGCAACATTCAAGAATATTCATTACAAAAAAGCAATGTTACTTCCAGTATTCAACAATTTAATTCAGTAAGGCATGCAACTCCAAAAAATATAATATTGGAAAGCTGATAAATAGTAGTTTTACAGAATGGTGCATGTCTTCAACACTAAAACAGACGGGACTAGGAACACATTGACATGTACACAACTCCTTGGAAAATCATTGTAAGGATTTAAAACACTCGGACCTTAATGTCAAATTTGAAGGGAAGGCTGATATTTCCTCAGAAAGGCACAGCAGGATACTCTCCTTGTCCTGTTTTGATATGCCCTCAGGGTTTGTTATGTTTTACAATGAAGTATGCTTACTTTTTAATCACAGATGAACACTGAAAGCTTTTCATAGCCCCTCTTAATTTAAGCACCATAGCAAAATTGATTTATAAATATACTGTGGTGCCTTCTAGTCAGTGTACCTGTTCACATTCTGAAAGATACACCAAGTAAACTGTCCACATTTTTGGATCATCATGAACATACGAAATCTCTAAGTACTATGAAGACATTGTTCCGATTTAGTTAAAAAAATCTGCTTTACTATTTCAACGATGCAATTAAGTTGCAAAAACATGCTACGAAGCCATCAATATTAAGAACTAATCCATGTCATATAAGATCACTGTTCATCTATTATTTTTAAATTTGAACAATAGCCACAAACATGCCAATAATCCAGTAAAATAAAGAACAAACAGCAGCATTTGAAAAATACTATGTTCTTACCAGTCCATGCTCAATTTTCTTGCCTTCAGCAACTGGCTTTCAATCCAGTTTGGTCGTTGCTGTTCAATGCTTTGTATAACCTTCTGGGTCACTTGCTTAGGACCACTTTTCTGTTTTCCCATAATACTTTCTAAGCACACACGAACTAAACTGAGTTTTTCTTTGCTCCATCTGTCAAGTGTTGCACCTGTTAAAAGTTCTGCAGTATTTCCATCCTCAAATATCCGACATATAATTACAATCAAGTTCCAGACAAGCAGACCAGCTTTCTTCAATTCAGCAAAGTTTCTTGACATTTTTCTCTCAGCCAGAAAAAAGAAGTACTTAATTGGGGGAGGCAAACATGCAATCACTGTAGGTAACTTGCTGATTACAATAGATACTGCCTGAGCTGCAAGCCTTGTAAAGCCTTAAAAAAAGAAAGAAAAGAAGATATGATTAACATTAACATTCTAGTTCTATCACAGCATGCTTCTGAATGTTGCATGATAATTTCTAACTTTCTTTTGTACTGAAAATGGGTAAAAAGCTGAAGTATTCAACACTGTAGCTTGACTTCTATTGTGCTTCCTCCACATAAATCCCACCAATTCTAAACAATAACATGAATTAAAAACAGAGCACCTAGCAAATTTAGAATTCAGACTGTGACTCTCTCGACAATTAGCCCTGCTGTGCACAGTTATTACAGAATAAATGAAAAAGATAACATTCAGGTATTCTGAATGGCAAAAAAGTTGTCTTCAAAAATGTAGTGTAATATTTTTTCAACTTCATGAGTGAAGCATTGCACTAAGTGACTCAGGGTATTACATACATTCATAACCTTTGGCCTTCTATCAATCCCCTTCTATGGTCAAATCTACAAAACTTCAGTTTATCAACTTTCATATAAGCATGCACACTATATATCACTGCATTTTAAACACAGATTCATGGAATCATAGAATCATTTAGGTTGGAAAGACCTTTAAGATCATGAAGTCCAACCGTTAACCCAGCACTGCCAAGTCCACCACTATGCCATGTCCCTAAGCACCACATCTACAGCTCTTTTAAATATCTCCAGGCATGGTGACTCCACCAGTTCCCTGGGCAACCTGTTCCAATGCTTGGCAACCCTTTTGGTGAAAAAATTTTTCCCATATCCAATTTAAGCCTCCCCCGGCACAACTTGAGGCTGTTTCCT